TCCCCCATTACCCCTCCCCTAGTCTACTTTGCAATGCACCTCTTGTTCCAAATTGTTGTCATACATGTAATATCTAATCATATATTCCTTTCACACAATTCTTCCTCTCATCTGTTCATTATGTATCCATTCTTTTCCTATTTTCCTTCTAACCCTTCATGTCCGTCCTCTTTTATAACAGCTGTATTATGCAGTACTTATCCTTTTGTGACTGAGATATTTCACTCAGCATAATGTCTTCCAGGCTTGCCCATGTTGTATAATGTTTTATGAGTTCATTGTTTTTAATGCAGCATAATATTGTATTGTGTGAATTTACCATAGTTTTTCTATCCATTTGTTTGTTGATGGGCACTTGGGTTGCTTCTATCTCTTTACTATTGAGAACAATGCAGAAAACATGGGTGTGCATATATCTGTTTGAATCGTGGCTCTCGTTTCTTTAGGGAATATTTCCAGTAGTGGAATTGCTGAGTCAAATGGTATTTCTATTTCCAACTTTTTGAGAAAGCACCAGACTGCTTTCTGTCCTTAGTGGCTGTATCGTTTTATATTCTCACCAGCAGTAAACAAGAGTTCTAATCTCTCCACAACCTTGCTAGCATTTATTGTTTGCTGCCCTGTCGAACTTTGCTATTGTTGCTAGGATGAGATGATATCTCATAGTTGTTATTATTTTCATCTCTCTGATAGCTGGGTATTTTGAACATTTCTTCATGTGTTTGTTTGCCATTGAATTTCTTCTTTGGTGAAGTGTCTATTCATATCCTTTGCCCATTTGGTGATTGGATTGTTTACCTTTTTTCTTGTTGAGGTACTGGGATATTCTATACATTTTAGATACTAGTCCCTTATTAGATGTCATGCCAAATACTTTTTTCCCACCCCATGGGTTTCCTTTTTACCCTGTTGAAGAAATATTTTTATGTGCATAGATATTTGATTCTTAAACTGTCCCATTCATCTATTTTATTCTCTCCTGGTTGTAGGTTAAAATCCATTACTTTAAAATATTTGTTCCCATTCCCAAGAAAGATAATCCAAAAGAATGTGGAAAATACAAACAATATCATTAATATAATATGCAAGCAAAATGTTGCCGATGTTCATCCAAAAATGGCTAGAACAGTAAAATTACACTGAACTTCCACAAGTTCAGGCTGAGTTTAGAAGAGCCTGTAGCACCAGGGATGTTATGTTGATGTCAGAGGGATTCTGGCTGAAAGCAGAGAATACAAGAATGTCTATTTACACTTTATTGACTATGCAAAGACATTTGATTGTGTGTCTCATAACAAATTATGGCTTATGGTAAGAAGAATGGGAATCCCAGAACACTTAATTGTGCCCATGCGAAACCTATACCTAGACCAAGAGGCTGTTGTGCAAAGAGAGCAAGGGAACACGACATGGTTCAAAATTAAGAAAGTTGTATGTATCAGGGTTGTATCTTTTCTGTATACCTATTCAGTCCTGAACAAATCATTCAAGAAGTTGTACTCTGTTGAAGAAGAATGTAGCATCAGGTTCAGAGGAAGACTCATAAACAACCTGTGTTATGCAGATGACACAACCTTACTTACTGAAAGTGAAGAGGGCTTGAAGCACTTGTTGCAGAAGGTTAAAAACAACAGCCTTCAATATGAGTTACATTTCACCATCAAGAAGATGAAAATCTCACCACTGGACCTATAAGCAACATCATTATAGATGGAGAAAAGATTGAAATGGTTACCTAATTCCTCTTACTTGGATCCACAATCAATACCTGTGGTACCAATAGTCAGAAGATCAGGAGATGTGTTGCACTGGGACAGTCTACAGTCTACAGTCAGGGAAATCTCCAAATTATTCAGGAGCAGCAATGTTAGATTGAAGACTAAGGTGTGTCTGATTCAGGCCATGATCTTTTCAATCACTTGCTATGCATCTGAGAGCTGGACAATGAATATGGATGACAGAAGAATTAATGTCTTTGAACTGTGGTGTTGGAGAAGAATACTGAATATCCCATGAATTGTCAAGAGAAAAAAATAGATATTTCTTGAAGAGAGTGCAGCTGGAGTGCCCCTTGGAGGCAAAGATGACAAAGCTTAGTCACACATACTTTGGGAATGATTTAGGAGGGGCACTTTCTTAGAGAGAAGATCATACTTGGAAAGATTGAGGGTCAGCGAAAGAGGGGAAGATCTACATACAATCAAACAAATTGACACAGTGACTGCTTCAATGGGCTCGAGTATGCTAGAAATGATAAGAATGGCATAGGATAGGTCAAGGTTCAGATCTACTGTTCATAGGGTCACGCTGTGTACTCACCTTGATGGCACAGAAAAACAACACATTAAAATATTTAGTGAGAATTCACTACATGTTAATAAACTACAAAGACAAACAACAATTTCTGCCTTTAAGGGTGCTCTAGCACAGACTAGTGCTGTTAAAAATAGATCTAGTGTGACCTTGAACAAACACTTTTACCTTTCGGAGCCTGTTCCCTTTATGAGTTTATAAAATTGATCAATATTATTTTAAAAAAGGACGAAAAAAGGGAAAAGGTGATCAATAACAGGATCAATGAAAAGGTAATACACAATAGATGATCATTGTGAGTAGCGTAAATAATGTTAAAAACAAAATGTATGTGTATGAGGGGGTAAACATTATTGTCTGTGGGACATTAACAGTTTAGAGACTAGTGGTTGTTGTTGTTAGGTACCATCCAGTTGACTACAACTCATAATAATCCTATGAACAACAGATCTGAACTTTTGCCCTTTCTTGCTCTGTCTTCATAATCTCCCAAATGCTTTAACCCATTGTTCAGTCACTGTACCAATCCATCTCCTAGAGGGTCATCCACTTTCCTCCTCCCTCATGCTCATCATGATGTCTTCTCCAAGCATAATATCTTAAACTGCGCAAAGCATGTGAGAGGATGTTTCACCATCTCATCTTTGTTGCTCAGGAGCATCCTGGTTTAAAAAGGCAGAAACAACATATTGTGAGAGTTTACTTTTAATTGGGTTGAAGAAGTAACACCTGAAGGAAGAGATGGTTGGAAGCTTTCAGTCAGGCCACAATGAAAACATTGAATTCTAAGTAGGGTTTCAAAGGGTAAAGATTTGCTGATAGAACTAAAGGGAGTAAAGCTTGAAGGTCAAAGAAGGCAAAGAGGTGTGGCAAGTAAGACCGGAAAGGTAAGTTGAGGCATGTCTTGGCAGGCCCTAAGTGAGTCTAGAGTTTGACCCTTATTCTGTAGCTGATAAAATGATATTAACATGTAGTTTCCATTAATATGAAGTGGAGCTTTTGATTTGGATGTTGATATTACAGAGTAAAATTTCTCAGTGAAAATTGAATCTGAGAGAAGGTATTTAGAGGAGAATTCAATTCAAAGTAAGATTCATTTAACAAGGGCCCAGGACTAGGAGGTGCAAAGCCAAAGACAAAGTTGTCAAGATGTGGAATTTATAATCTAAAGGGTTAAATAATATATATACACACAGAAAATTACAATACAAGGTAGAATGTCGTGTCATAATAGAGACCCGCCTAAGTACCTTAGGAACTCAAGCAAGGGTAAAATTAGTTTTTTCTCTGAAAAGGTTGGAAGTAGAAGACCAAGAAAAGGTAGAAGCTCATTTTTGGAATCATAATCCTCGATATAAAAGATTATTATAGAGGGCTTTGGAATTCATCAAGTTTACCCCTACGCCATCAGGATCAGAGTAAAAAATAACTTTGAAGTTGAAACTTAAAGAGGAACATAAGAAAATCTATGAAGATTGTACAAAGTACAATGGGAAATGAATTCAGCTTTGAGGCACTTAGGTGCTGGTGGGTGACTTTCTTGCAAAAGGAAAATGGAAGGCCAGCATGTGGATGAGATCATAGAGGGAGAGTATGCCTGGAAATAAGAAAGATAAAAACAGAAACTTGATGAACACCCACGTTTCAAAGGGTGGGAAGAGAAAGAGGAGTGAGGAAGAAAAAAAAAAAGATGCAGCACAACACCTTGTCACAAAGTTTCAAGACGGCTGCAGGCAGAAATAGAAGACAGGACCTGAGGTCCCAAGAAGGAAATGGCAACAACAGGGATTGAACATGGGTTGCCAGTGACACTACAATGAATGAAGGCTTCCACCCGCCCCCGACTTCCAAAACAAGGTGGTTTCCTTGTGTCTAGTACATTTCAGGGTGGAGTTCTTTTGGAGGTCTGGGTTGGGGGTGGGGTGGGGGAACAGGGTTGTACCATCTGGACTTGAAAGATCTATAATTAGTACCATTCGATTAAGTGGGCCAAACCTCTCCTAATCCTAACCAGTCCCTCCAGGAACTAAATAAAATTGAAGGATACATTTCACATTCTGATCTCGGGGCTGGCCTAGTGAAGTCTCGCCTCGTCATACAGTCCCAGTCCTAATGATTGTCTCGGCCGTCACTCTGTTCTGGTATTGCCTTCGGTATGACTAAAGCCACTTGCAAAAGTTTGCAGCATCGTCCGAGCCAGACTACAACTCCCAGAGTTCCTGAGAGCTTTCCGGTGCCGATTGGCTGACTACTCGGCTTCCGAAGGCGGTGTCGACCCCGCCTTCCCGAGAAACAAGCATCTGATTGGTTGTAGTGCGGACTTTTTTTCTCCTCTCCGCCCTCCGGACAGCCGCGGGCTGAGCGGCGCTGTTGGTGTCAGAGTCGAGCGAGCGCAGGCAGTTCCGCGCCGGGGATGCTGAGCAGCGGTGGGTCCGCGAACAGTCTTAGCGGACTTCCAAGGTGCTCTGGGCCGTGAAAAGCATCGCGTCGCAGCCAGTCGCAGGAACGTGAAACCATTCACCATTCCAGATCGGCAGCCAGCCGTCCTTGGATACTGGACTCTCGGAGGGTTCTGGAACCCCGAGAGGCACGTCAGGGTTCCAGAACCTCCGGTGCTGCCCACAGTCCCGGCTTCCTGTGAACGTCCGTCCAGTGCACAGGTCGTCGGCTCGCTCTTGCCGCACACAATGATCGTTGCGGACTCCGAGTGCCGCGCGGAGCTCAAGGGCTACCTGCCATTCGCTCGTGACGGCGACGGCGCTGGGGAAGGAGAGGTAAGGAAGGACGCCACTCCTCTTGAAGCCCGAACCGGGTCCGACCCTTGGGGTGTCCGGACAGAAGTCTGCTGCCCCCCGTCCCGCTCCCTTCCGCGAGCAAGGAAGGGGAATGAAGCGCGTAACCCAGGAGTAGGGTTGCATCAACTGGCAGCCTCGGCCCGGCCCCCTCCCTCCGGGGCTTGCAGCCCTCCCTGGCTCCCTCAGACCCCTGACCAATGAGAAGGGAGCCTTCCCGAGGTTGTCCCAGTGTTTGGTCTCTTGCCGGGAGCCTCAAGCCCAGGCAAATCCCTGTCGAAGCTGCCCGACCACTCCTCCTCCCCGCCCCCTTCCGCAGATTCCCTCCCTCTTGGTGGGGGACAGGCCTTCTGAGGATTCTTTCTAGGATTCGTCCCTCGCCCAAGCCCCTGGCACTGGCAATCGGACACCCGCGATTGGCTCTCGAAGGCCAACCTGGTCCTCCTCCCCGCACCTCTGCGCCTCCACCACCCGCCGATTTGGGGGAGGGCTGTGCGGGCCGCCTGCGAGAGGGGCGGAGCCGCGGGCGCTCCTGGGGGCTTTGCAGCGCGGTGGCAGCTTTCAAAGCTGGAAGGTGAGGGGTTAGGGATTGGGGGACACCTACAGAGTCTCCCAAAGCCTAGTGCTCCTTCTAAGTAGTTCCAAAAGTTTGTTTCGTGGTGATCTCTCTCCTTCGGGAAGTGCCTGAAAAGGCTTTGCACAGAGGCTGGAGATAAAGTCTAACATAATTTGACTAACTGTAGTAGTACCCTCTTTCCCTGATCTGTAATGACAGACACTGGACCCCTATTGGCCCAGAGATTAAAACATCACCTGCTATCCCTGTAGAACAGGTCTACGCAGTCCTAAAGGATGCTATGTGTGGAAACCTGCTTGACAGCAGGGGGCTTGTTTGTTTTGATATCAGGCTTGCCTTTTCATTCAATCCTCAGGACTAAACCAGGATAATGCGAGCTGTGCTATAAGCCCCTTTTGACAGGATGAGAAAATTGTGCCCCAGGAGGGCTTTAGGGAGAGGTTTCCTCTTCTAACCTCACCTTGGGAAGCTCATTCTTTGTCCTGTTTCCCTAAGATTTTTTTTTTCCCTGAGAGAGTGTTTGGCGCACATTCTGCAAATGTTGTTGCTTTCTTTTGTTTTCGGGCAGCTTGGAGCAGGTGTATTGCTGGGGTTGGAAGTTAGAGACATGCTTGCCCTGAGCTGTGCGACAGGGAACATCTCTACCCTTCTCTGACTAATGTGGTTTCTGGGGCTCCCAGCTTCAGAGGTGGATGGTTTGTGTGTCCTGCGTTTGTCCCTGTTTAGTGTTTCCCTACCATGGTTGGGAGGAACCCAGGTGGCACAGTGCATTTCGAGTTGGACTACTGACCAAAAGGCTGATGAGGGTTTGAATCCACCAGCTGCTCCATGGGAGAAAGATGGACTGTCTTCTCCCATCAAGGTTTACAGCCTCTGAACCCCACAGTGGGCTGTCATGAATTAGAATGGCAGTGGATATTTTGGGCCATAGTTTAAGAAGTCCTGGAGGAGCTCAGGTACTAACCTTATCAAGCAGTTCCACTCTGTCCTGCATGGTCATTATGAGTCAGAATTGGCTCCATGGCAGTGGGTTTGGTTTGCAATCATGGTTAGTAGTGCAGCTGTGGACTACCCATCTGAGCTCCTTTGGTTTGCAATCACTAAAGAAGCAAACTGCCATAATTTTCTCTCCAGAAGCGGCTGGTGGGATTAGATGGCATACTTTTTTGGCTAGCAGCCAAGTGCTTAACCACTGTGCCACCAGCATGCCTCCATAATGATGACAGCCTTGGTGGTTCTGCTGTGTCTTTCGGGGCTGCTGTGAGTCAGCATCAACAAGAAGGCAGTGGGCTGGGTTTTTTTTCCTGTTTGACCCATGGTTTGGGAGAGCTCCCTAGGGAAGAATACCCCAACGCTTGCCCTTTTGCAGTTGTAAAGCTATGATTATGTCATTTTTGCCCATTGAGTCTGTTTCTTTAGTGTGAAAAATAAAAGTAATGTTATTACTGAGAGCACCTAGCCTCTGGAGCCAGAGAGAGCTTGGTTCATGTTCCAGCCCTCTCATTCAGTTGCCAAATGACCTTGACCAATGAATCTCCCTCTCTGATCCACTGAACATAAGTATTCAACAGTATCCATGAGTGACAAGAGGGAGAATTAACCGAGAATACAAGTAAAGACCGAAGCACGGCACCTGCATCAGGCGTGCTAACTATTGTCAGAATGTGGTTCTGACATACATACATTTCCCTTTCCCCAGTGTCTTGACAAGCTTACTGTGCTGTCTGTCCGAGGTAAGAGTCATGCATCCCTCTCTGCGGCAGTGCCTAGGAAGTGGTCTTGGGAGAAGGGAGTGACTCAGGTTTGGGGCGGGTTGTGAGAGACTTTGACCTTTAGATGTAAACCCACATCTAAAGTAGTGAGGAAAGCTGTGGTGTCTGGTGAGCCCACACACCTTGAGGAAGAGGTATGTGCTTAAGCAGAACTCCTTTAGAAGACAGTAGGGTGATGCTGATCTTAGAGCCTTGTGTTGAGGCCTTGTTGAAGACCCAGATGTGCAGCTCCTTCAACACCCCAGCATTTCACCACACACTTTTTCATTGGGTCAACACCTTAACATGTGTGCATCTGCAGTAAGTTCTGAGGACTTCTCTATCGTGCTATTAGTCTGTTTATAGAACCTTACTGGGCTTTCATATTACTTCCTCAAACCAAAAAAGCCTTGAACTGGTTCTGCCCAGTTCAGTCATGACCAAGGAAGTGAAACTGGAATGGACCTGAATATCTAAAATGTGGGTGAAGTGGAGTACTAACTATGACAGGAAAAGTTAAGATCAAATCCTTCCAGAAACATAATGTTCCTGTTAGAAAACAAGAACAGTTTATATGCTGCATAGCAACCAAATCTCTTGACCCCCTGAATCAAAAACAATGTGCCAGGCTAAAAAATGGTGGCTAGCTACACTCCATTCAAGTATTCATCAAGGTCATGAAGAATTCACTACAATTTTTCTGAGCTTCCCATTCTAGGGCTTGGCCCTATAATTTTTCCCATTCAAGTGAGCAGGCCAGATCTTCCAAACTAAAAAAAAAATTGAGTCTGTTCCAGTTTTATCTATGACTGAACCACTTCAAAAAACCCTGCCTCAAACATCATTTCCTTTGGGAAACCTTTCCTCCTTCATCAGATAAGTTCCCTTTGCTTATCCATTTCCAGTCCCTTTCTCCTGCCAATATTAATGAAATAATCATGTAATTAGCATTTCTTTTCTCTCTCCCATGAGGGACTAGAATCATGAGGAGACAGGGACCCCACCCTACAGGTCTCTTCTGCCTTGTTATGACTTAGCTGACCCTTGTGAACTGTATAGGCTTTGAAGCCAGATCTGTGTATGACTTGTGTGGGACAGAATCATTCTGAGCCACAGCACCTGTCTGTAAAGAAGAGGCAACTATTTCTCAGGGTAATTCTGAGGAGGAAGTAAGATGAGATGTATAAGCTTAAGGCATCTGGCTTCGACCCTAGCTCTTGGTGGACATATAAGTACTCACAGACACATACAGTTCTGTCCAAGATTGGCAATCAGGAGTTGCTTGGATTGTATCTTCCTTACAGGTCTAAATCCATGCAAGTTCAGGTAGCAGAACAGCCCATGAGTTTAATGGTTCTCTTCCCATCCCTAGCCAGCAGAGTGTCTTTGCAGGTGCCTGTAACTAAGTCCTTCTAGAAGTTATAGGTGGAGGCTATTCCAAGAGGCCTATGTAGTTGATTGATAGAAGAACCCCTGGAGGCCAGACTGTGCTGGGTTAAAATCTCTAGGCTTAGTTCCTGTTCCAAGAGGCCCTCCTGATAGAGTGGAAAGCTCGATTGTCTTTGGTTCAAGTTTTAAATTGACCACTTCTCACCAAAACAAGAAAACACACCCATTCTTGTCAAGTTTATTCTGACTCATCATGATCTTACAGGACAGACTAGATATCTACAATATCTACAAGGTCTCTAAGACTATAAATAACTTACTGAAGTAGACTGTCACATCTTTCTCTTGTGGAGCCACTGATTGATTCTAATCCATCTCCTTTCAGTTAACAGCCAAGTGCTTAATCACAGTGCTACTAGAATTCCTTGGCTACATCTCAGTTGATAGTCAACCTTTGGAACCTCATGTGAAGGAAACAGAGATTTCCTTCCCGCCCCTATCCCCTAAAAACTGATGATGATTAAGTAGAATTTTTGTGTATTGTGTGATTGTTGTAGTATACCATATGGCTGACCTTCAAGTGGATTTTCAGAGGCAGGAAACAGCCCATCTTTCTTCCAGGCAGCAACTGGAGGATTTGACTGTGTACCTTTGAGTTGGCAGCTCAACTCCTTACTTTAGCTAATACAAAAGTTTAGGGTAAAGTTAGGACTCACACACCTTTTTTTTAAAAAAATAGTATTTTTAAAAATTTTATTTTAATAATCTTAATGAACATTTACAGAGATTTTGGATTTCCATTCATTCATTGCTGCACTTCTTTCCCGCCCAGCCCTCCCAGCCCCGCCCCAGTTCGCTCCTCTCTTTGAAAAGTAAAGGAAACACTCCCTCCCTGGTACACAATCCCCCCCGCACCCCTCCCACTGCCCCAAGTACTTTCCACTATGCAACCTTAATTGGGGACTCTTGTGATAACCATAATACCCTATCATACATCGCTTTTAAATTATTCTCTCCCTTCTCTGTTTCAGTGCAGTATACACAATTTGTCCAGTTTTTCTCAGTCTTACTCCAACCCTGATCTCAGTCCCATTTTACAGCAGTGGCACCATGCAATATTTGTCCTTTCGCGACTGAGATATTTCACTCAGCATAATGTCCTCCAGGCTCACCCATTTTGAATAATATTGAATGAGTTCCTTGTTTTTCAATGCAGCGTAGTATTCCATTGTGTGAATATACCACAGCTTCTCTACCCATTCGTT